TCTCAGGCACCAATGTCAAATACAGATTTTTCATCTGTAGTATTGCCCTTGACAAATTTTAAACCATATTATCGTGGAAAAGAAGTACCAGATGCAGAACCATTAGATACTGCAAATATTACAATGCTTGGTTTACAAGTATATGGTGGAGTTTATTTATCAATTAAACAAAGAGGCGTATCTGCTTTAGAGATAAAAAATATTTCAATATCATAATTATTATATTAATGTAATTATAGGTAATTAAAAATGATTATTATACAATACAAATACAATTTGTATTCATTTTATTAATTAATTTTCAAATTACTTTTAATCTACAGTTTACATAATGAAATAATGTATAAGGGATAATAAGAAATACACAAATGTACCGAATTTCTAGAAGTATTAAATCGTATAGAAGTAAATGCTCATTCGTGTAGAGATCGAGAAAAAAGGAAATCCTAGAAGGGCTACGGTAACAACGCTGGTAAAGGCATAGCTGGGCAGCACAATACACGATTTTGAAGATTGCGAATTTTAATATCATAACCTGAGACTTCCTTTTTCCTTGATCCCTACATTCATTAAATCTTATTAGTTTCTTTTTATATCAATACTGAAATGTGCTAAAATTTTTTTGATATTGTGATTTTAATGGAAATATTGTAACATGTTTTCACCAAACTTTACGACTTTTTGCCAATATATTTTAATTTACCAATCATTTAGGTAACTTTCTTCAAGAGTATTATATGGCTTAAGATCGTGATTGAGTCTGTAACAGAAGCATATACAGATACATATTTAAAATGTATATACGAACACAATTACTATGCGAATGTTATGATATATAGTTGTAAAAGTTGCTTACGTTTTAAATGCATCAATTATTTCTGGTACTTTAGATGAATGACAAACAATAGTTGTTCTACATTTTTTTGGATCAAACAATGGTTTTAAATATTGCGATGCTATGCGATCCATATCTTCAATTGTTACTTCAGATACGCGTTGTACCATTTGCTGAGTGTAATCATGAGGCACATTTTTAAAGTAAGATAATAGTGACGACATTACTAAGTGACGTACACTCTGCTCTTTTCTAATAATTTTAAATATTAAACAAGATTTTGCCGATTCAAAAAGTAATTTTTCCCATTTATTTTCAAAAATATGAGCTTCCTGTAATAATGTAGAAAATATAATTTTTATTTTCCAGATTTTATAGATTTGATCAATTATAATCTAAATATATATATACTTACTACAATTGATTTTGCTTCTTTATATGCTGCTACTATGTTTGTAGACTTGTAAAACGTTAAATTTAACAAACCTTCACTTTGATTTAGATAAATATCATACCCATAAGATAGACCCTGACTAAAAAAAAACACATTTATATTTTACCTACCTCTAATTGAATTAAATATTCTAAACAGAGAAGCAAAGGTGCTAAATCTGGACTCTGACAATTATTTATACTTTGACAACATTGAAGTAAATAGGAAGATTCTATACAACCTAATCCTGTAACGCAACCGTGTAATGCAATCTCATCTGGAGGAGTCATTAATTTCGAATCAGGTATAGCTTCAAGTCTATAAAATTAAATTACATGTTTATGATTTATATGTGAATATTATTACACATTTAAATTATAAAAGTAAACTTACTTAATTTTGTTTGATGTATCGAATTTAGGAAAGTAAGTGTCCCATGGACTGTAAACATTTGGTACTTGAGCAGTCAATTTATCCACATTAGTTGCTATGTACAATATCATATTTTTAGGTGATGTTAAAATTTCCCTAACAGATTCAATTTCGGATACAACTTCTTTCTGCCCTGTTTCATTATTTAAACGATCTAGGACATTATTAAGAAACTTTTGTTGCCGCAACATGCTGGAATTGAAAGGATTGCTATCTAAAAGTACAATATTATATTATAGTTATTACTCTCATAACGATATTATATAATTCTTCATATTATTTTTTTACCCTTATTATACAACAGGCCTTGCATCAAATTTATTACAACTTTATATCCTCTTCTTTTAACTTGAGCAACATCATTTACCATTTTTGCAGCTGTTATTTTTAATCTATCTGGTGTCAGTTTAGTTTCATATAAAAGTTCTTTAATCCATTGTACGCCTTTTTCATATTTTTCTATTTCAAGCTAAATTAGAAAAACAGTTATTTAAGAATATAAACAAATTGTAAAACAAAATCTAATACAAAAACCTATTACATGAAGATTTAGAAGGGCACTGTAACTATATGATCCACATAAAAACTTTGAAGGATTCTTAACTCCAAGACTAGTATCATTACTTATAGTATCTGCTTCTAATTCAGTTATAATTTCTTCATATGGAATAAGTTTATCGTCTCGTTTTACTGGACATTCCATAATTGTTTGTAATAGTAAAGGAATGTAAGGTTTGTATTTTGTTTCAACGTTTGATGTATTCATAATAACGAACATCTAAAAGAGAAATACATAATGAAATATTCAATGATGTTTCAAATGTAATTATACATATAATAAATGTATACTTACATAAACAAAATTTGTATTCACGTGGTCCAAGTATGTATAAAATGGCAATTTTGATACATCAAATCTGGAATGTTGTTTACATGATTCTGTTGTGTAACTTTTAATGTGATGGAAATTAATAAGGTGAGTAGATGGTATAGGAACAGAACTTAATATTTCATCTGGTATTGGTATCTAAAAGAATAAAAAACTAAAATATAGGAACAACACTTAATATTTCATCTGGTATTGGTATCTAAAAGATTAAAAACTAAAATATTAGAACAAATACACTTATATATTATGTAAATATATGTAAATGTACATACTTCATTTTTAGCAATTGCTCCTTGTAATTCTTTTTCTTTTTTTTTAAGACCTTCATTACCTAAATTTTCAATTTGTTTAGCAACGCGGTTTTTTTCTTTCTCTGTTAATTCATGTTTCTTTTCTAAGCTAGGAATTCCTTTAACTATTACGAATGGAGAATCAAGAAAATATGTTTTTAAGAGGTTTAACCAGTAAGATTGTGGTTCATTTTCCAGTTTTTTAAGATCTTGTACTTTGTTGATTCTTTGTTCTAGCTAAAATTTTAAAAACATACATTATTACGATATATTTTTGAAGACAAAATTTCGCGATGCATTCAGGATAATTACATCTTCTTTGGTATCACCATAAAGTGAATATCCAAAAAGCATATATGCAATACTATCATGAGGATCTGCTTCCATTCCACTAAAAATTTCAAGGATATGCCTATGAACAACCGTCTTCATTCGTTTTATGTCAATGCCTTTTTTATATACATTATTTAGTACTTTTAGCAATTGATCTTTTATCAGAGAAATTTTTGATCTTGGTACACTTTCAAATGCAAGGTACAGTACAGATACTGAGTACTCAGAGTAAGAATAACCAACATTGCTAGCATATGCATCATCAATTTCAACAAATTCTTTTTGCAATGGACTAATTGATGTATCTGTGAGGTATTTTAAAAGCAAAGTGCAACCAGTAACATCATATATTTCAGTAATAGCAGATGGCCCTCGCCAAGCAACATCTACTACTCCATTATCTTCATCATCACATGGATAATGCACATCTAAGTCTGCACTTTCAGTAAGAGGTGGTACAGGGTCCTGCCAAGGTCTTTTAAATAAACCTCTATTTCCCTAAAATATTTGTTTAATTTTAATTATATTAGAAGCAATAAAGGATCAACATGTATGTAATTTAATATATACTTTTGCCATTATTTTCTTTTCTATAGTTTGCAATGCTTTGAACACATCTGCATGTTTTATTTTGCCAGCAATTACTATTGTCAAGTTTTCGGGTCTATAAAATTCTTGATGATATTGCCTCACTTTTTCATTATTAGTACTTTCTCTTAAATTCTTTAATACTCCTATAAAAGGAATAATATTCTTTTTATACACAATTAATATTTTATTTTGTTGGCAAAATATTAAAAATCTACCTCCAACGATAGACTTATAACCACATCTTCCAGGAAAAATTGTTCTAGACATTTCTATGTATGTCATATATTCTCCTATATTTTCCTTTCCTTGCATTTCACAATAAACAACACCTGCATCTTCACCTTCACCACTAATATTATACCGTAAGTGTTGGATATAGAATATGATCAAGGTATATAGGCAATAAAGACAAAAATCCTTCACTACCAGCAGTTGTCATAGTATAGTAAGTACAATTAACTTGTGTTGCAGCACCAGTACCAGATGCTAAGCATCTATTAGCCAGTAAATCTAAGACACCTTTATATGGATAGTCTTCACTACCCAAGAAAATAAGGTGTTCCAATGTATGAGGTAGTCCATCATCATCATGTGCTTCAGTAGCTAAATTTTATGAAAATAACGATATTATTCTATATAATATAATTAAATAAATGTCACATTTTAGATAAATTTAACAAATACAAAAGTAAGGTAAATTACCAAGACAAAAGTAGCCTTTTACAACAGGTCCGTCGACATCTGCTATACAAATTTTAATTCCGGTATCTGTAGACTTATAAATATGTACCGGTATGGTATCATTAGCTTTTATTGAATATATATAATCAAAAGCACCCATATCTCCTCTTGGCGAATTATCTACCGGCGCCATGTTAAATTACATTAAATGTTGACTACTGTTCGGAACTCACAAAAAAATAACACGTACTAGATTAGACAAACTTTTGTATTTGAGGAAAGGCAGCTTCTTATAGAAAACAATTGATAAATTGTTTTAATTATCAGTAGAGCATCAAA